TTCTCCTTTCAGAAATATTTTTTCTAAATAACAAATGGATCAGCCCTAGGTGTGGGTGAGAATAAAAGGCACTCTCCTTTGATGCCATATCTGAAAGGTTTTACAGAACTGAACACCTGGATATTAAAATCATCTGAATACTTTCCCATGGTAATGTATAAAATTGTTTGATCATTACCTCTTTCCTTGCACTTAGGCTTTCTATTTTCTGCCACCACTTTGCAATGATTGCTACATCTGTGGAAAACAGAAATGGGGAATTTATCTGGGGAAAACATATCAGATCCTACCAAACCTATACTGAAGAAGCTCCAAAGGAACACAGATCAGATTTTCTCTACTATGTGTTTTAACTGATAGTCATGTCACAATGCTTACAAGAACCCTGGTATTTTTGTAGAAGCTGTAACCAGTGTGATGAAACAGTTCTCATCAAGGTATTTGGAGAAGGGACTAAGCTCATAGTAATTTCTCCAGGTAAGTAAAGTTTTTTTCTATTTTGACCTTTGTGTAACTGATAGGTGCTGTTTAGAAAAAAAAGGAAGTGATGATTCTATCTGTTTGTCTGTGTAGCTGTGTAAATATGTATTTATCTATCTCTCTATACTAAGCTTGTGGCTAAGCATATGGCCTTAGTATAGGGTTAGTAATCTTGCTGCTACTGTTTACTATGTATGTAAACTAAATAACTTCATAAATGGCTTTTTCATTGTTTTGCTTATAAACAGATTTAAGTTCAACTTCTGAAAATACACATAAAACTATTGACTCAGATTAGGAATGAACATACTTGAGGAACCATATCTACAAACGGTTACTATAAACTGTAAGATACCCATCTTATAATTAGTCTTCAAATTAGCATTTTGTTAGTTATCCCTTCTCCATGTTTGAGTTTAAACAAGATCCCACAAAACCTATATGATTGTGTTTAACTTCATTTTAAACACCAATTAAAGAAATAGCCTTATTATTTTTTGAACTTGAATACATTTCACTTGTTCTGATTACTCTAGTTCCTAGAGGTAGAGTGAGACCAATCTAAATTTTTGCTACTCTGACTTATTGTATTGCCTAGAAATGGTTTATGAAACTGAGAATTCAAAGTGTCATCTCATCACCTAATTCTATGAAAAGAGACTACATGGTTTTATATCCTCATTTGCTCATTCATTTTCCCAGCAAATACTGATGAGACAGTTTTTTGTGTGTGTGTTAGATGCAAGTCCATAAGAGTGAATAAGAGAAAGTACCAACACTCCAAAACCATCCTGGCTGGTGGATAAGCATTCTAGAGTCTGGATTATTTGGAATCAATGTCATTTGTTCTGTGGCTAACTGTGAAATCTTGGATTCATGGGCATTTTTCTTTTGTTAATTTATATACTCTAGTTACTGCTTGCAACATCCCCTTTTTTTGTTTGCTGAAGAATATTACAAAGTGCACCAAAATGATCCCATGAAGGAGTATAGTACTATATAATGATAGTAACCATTATACCATGTTATGGTCAGATACCATGTTAAAATGCATCAGTGTCTTATCTCATTCCTCAGCAGTCGTATTCCCCTATTAAAGATAAGGTAATGGAGGTTTAATGAGTTCCGTTATTTATCCAATGTCACATGACTTGATTCTAGGGGATTTACGAGAACTTTCACATTATAAGGTGTATGATCTGTGCCACTATGGGCTACTGGAAATATTGCCACATGCATATTCTCAGTTTTTATCTTTCCATAGCCTGATTTCTTAAATGAAATTCTTAAATAAATGTAATTACCCACCTGATCAGTAATATTGATCAATTGTGCTACTGCTCATGTATGAAAAATCTCCTGCTTGTAATCATGGCACTGAAATCACACCGCTACTACAAAAATCTGCAGTCATGCTGATTATGCACTTATTAACATAGCCAAAATACAATTCTTACAGTATTTTTGTGAAATGACAAGTCCATCTTTCATTATTCCATTCAATTTTCTCTCTGAGTGGGGATCATATTTCCAGAAATATTTTTTAAAATAATATAATAGTTTATTTTTACATCATTTTGTGCATTTTTCACCTCAATTGTAATCTCCATGGGTTCCCCATCACCAAATTACCCATGTGCCATCACCATAGTATAGTGCATTTCCCTGCCCCCACTGTTTCTGATCCCATCCCCAACTCCACACCTATAAAATGTCTCTAATATATAACTGTTCATTATTATTATTTTCTCACCTGGTCCTTTATACTTCTGCTATGAGTGAAACCACCTGGTATTTTTCCTTTTCTTTCTGGCTTATTTCACTAAGCATGGTCTTTTCCAGCTCCATCCATATTGCTGCAAAAGGCATGTGATTTTTTTTTTTTGGTTGCTGAGTAAATATTCCATGTGCATACGTACCACATCTTTTTAACCCAGTCATCCACTTTTGGGTATTTGGGTTGTTTCCATGTCTTTCAAATAGTAAATAAAGCAGCAATAAACATGGGGGTACAGATATCTTTTGGAATCAGTGCTTTTGTGTCTTTTTGTAAATACCTAGGAGTGGGATTCCTGGGTCACATGGACGCTCCATTTTTAGCAGTTTGAAAAACATCCAAACAGTTTTCCATAGTGGTTTTACTACTTTGCCTTCTCACAAGCAGTGCAGGAGAGTTCCTTTTCTCCACATCCTCACCAACATTTGTTGTTGCTAGTTGTTTGAAGATGTGCCATTCTCACTGATGTGAGCTGGTATCTCATTGTGACTTTAACTTGCATCTACCTTATTACGAGTGATGTTGAACATTTTTTCATATGCTTGCTGGAGATGTGAATTTCCTCTTTGGAGAAGTGTCTTTTTAGCTATTTAGCCCATTTTTTGATGGGGTTGTTTACTTTATTCTTTTTGAGATTCATTTGTTCTATGTACATCTTTGTGATCAATCCTTTATCACTAATTATGTGTGAGAAATTTTTCCCAGTCAATGGGATGTCTGTTTGTTTTTTGTAATGTCTCTTTTGCTGTACAGATGCTCTTTAACTTAATGTAATCCCATCTATTTATCCTTGCCTTCACTCTCATTGATTTGGGTGCTCTATCTTTAAAGTTGTTGCTGAAGTGTATGTCATGTCGTGTTTGGCCCATCTTTGCTTCCGGGTATTTTATGGTTTCTGTTCTTATACCTAGTTCTTTAATCCACTTTGAGTTGATTTTTGTGTATGGTGTGAGGTAGTGATCTAGTTTTTTTTTTTTTTTTTTCATGATCTAGTTTCTTCACAGTTTTCCCAGCAACACTTGATGAACAAACTTTCTTTGCTTCATTGTATCTTCTTTGCTCCTTTGTCAAAGAGTAGCTGCCCATAAACCTATGGTTTTCTTTCTGAATCCACTGGTCAGTTTGTCTCTTCTTATTCCAGTACCATATTTCCCAAAATATTAAACCCACAACAAACAAATCAATGGCGAGATTCTTAAACTTCATTACAAAATTGTAAGGAACTTAAGGGATTTCTAACTCACTATCAGACAGGTGCCAAAATACCCAAATAGGATCTCTACTATATTCTAGTCTTCTTTTTCTATATTCATTTCAATAAATTTCTTCATTGTTTATTAGTCTAACGATGGATTTTTTTTTTCCCTTGGAGTGGGGAGACCCTCTATCAAGCATTTTCCGTGCTTAATAGATCCATTCAAATGAAAGTCTTCAAAAATTTTTCACAAGTTGATGAAGCACTGAAAAAATGAAAGCAATGCTGTATTGTGGTTTCCTTGGTATTTGTGCTCATATAAATAAGAAATTCATAAATTGAAATGAAGACTTCTGGTAGTCTTCTTTAAAGCTGAGTACACAAAGAGTGTAATCACAGCAATTAAATTAAATAATAAAAAAATGGAAAAAATAGTTTAGGAAGGTGTGTGGCAAGAAGAGATAAAGACTTTGATTCTATGTTATTACTCTCTGCATAATCATCCTAATGCTAATACTATATATATTGTCAATAATATTAGCATATATTAACACATTCCCATATGGCACAAGTTGAAAATACAAAATATTTTAAAAATTTAAATTTTAAAGTGACTATGATCACAACTAAAATTTGAAATATTTCAATCCATTCGTTTTGTCAGTGTACTTTTAAGTGAACACTGAGAAGTATAAGTGAAATTAAATACAACTTTGCCACAAAGTTGGGACATGGGATGAGTACCACTAACGTTCTCCACAATTCAAGTTATACAGTTAGGGGCTCTTTATGAAATTAGGAATTCAAATGAAAGTATTAATTTCCATCTTATCTACAATTCAAACAAATGCTCAGTGCTTGCAAAATAATTCTAATTTCTAAGACTAATAGTTTCCTCCTTCGCAAAATGATTAGAATGTGGTATTTACCGAAAGTATTAAAGGACAATTTTTAGGTGATCTCTCATTTTCCAGTGGAATTTCCTACAAGAATAAATGAGGCTATGTTTTGAAACTTCAATATCTAAATGTACAGTTATGAAGATAAAAAATGCAGTGTCCACTTATCTTTTTATATAAAGCATGAAAAAACAAATTTTCTTGATTTACTCACCCACATAACTCCTCAAAACCAAAATATACCAGGAACAGAGCATTAATCTCAAATTGCAGACAATCATAAGTTTCAATAGAAACTGAAGAACTCAGTGAAACTAAATTAAGTCTAATGTTTTTGATATGGGTTGAATCACTGTGTAGTTATGAAAAAGTATTCGGTGAAGGAACAAAGCTTATCATTGCCGGTAGGTATCAGAGAATGCAATATTTTTCAATGAAACTGAGGAAAAGCAAAAGCCAATTACATTAATAGGAAGATGTTTAGGAAAAAAAGAGGGCTGTGAAGAAGACTACATTGGAAATCTTAGAAGAGATGTTAAAATGAATCCTTACAATAAAATATCTAATAGGCAACATTGAGCAGATACTAGGATATGATTTGGTTTTGTGCACGTGTGGACTCATATAGTGTTCCACACATAATATATGTAGCTATAATGAAATTGTTTCTCTTATAAAAGAGTTTATTACTACAGGAGAGATTTGTGTGTTGACATATTACCTTTTTTGATGGTGGAAATATTTGCAGAAGAGCTGGGACTTTGGAGTCAGACCCACCTGGAGCTCTCTTCTATTACTTTCTGCTTATATGATCTTGCTGAATATTCTTTGGCCTCAGTTTCCTTTCCCTTTAAGTGGGATAGCAGTACATATGTATATGTATTTATACACAGCTAGCGATCTGTGGGACTCAAAGGAGCTATTGTGAATGAAATAATAGCATGTAATTGGTATTGGATTGATATAATGATGTAAAATCAATTACATACAGTTAGAAATAGCATAAATTAGAAATTGATATTTAGTTATGACATAGCTTATTTATTCAGAAATGTAATAAGAAAAATCCGGAACACCAGTCAATATAAATATGCAGGTTTGAAATATGCTTTCAACTAAAAATGTGTTTGACATTTGTAAATTTATATAAAGTTAACACTGTCAAATCTTAAGAAATGTAAAAAAAACTGAGAAATTTTGTCTCAAGTTATTATTGAAATATGGAACTTAATGTGTATAAATGAATTGGACAAGTTTATTTACCTTTTTAATCTGACTTGCTTTCTTTGCATCATGAAATACATTTTGACCATAAGCAACACTGCTGATAACTTTTAAAAGAAAATTTAAGGAAAAATATTCAATATAAAGATTTAGAATGTGGGTATTAACTATATAATAATTTATTATCTAGTTAAATAT